ATGTTGGCTTGTCTTGCCAGGCTGGGGAAGTTCTCCTGGAAGATATCTTGAGTATATTTTCCAACTTGGTTCCATTCTCCCCATCTCTTTCAGGTACCCCAATTGGTCATAGGTTTGGTCTCTTTACATAACTCCATATGTCTTGGAGGTTTTGTTCTTTCCTTTTCATTCTTTTTTCTTTTTTCTTGTCTGCCTGTCTTATTTCAGAAAGATAGTCTTCAAGTTCTATGATTCTTTCCTCCACTTGGTCTATTCTGTTATTGATACTTGTGATCAATATTTTGTGTTGTGGTTTTCAGCTCCATCAGGTCAGTTATGTTCCTTTCTAAACTGGCTATTCTGACTATCGGCTCCTGTATTGTCTTATAATTCTTATCTTCTTAGGATTGAGTTAGAACATGCTCCTTTAGCTCAGCAAAGTTTGTTATTACCCACCTTCTGAAACCTACTTCTGTCAATTCAGCCATCTCAGCCTCAGCCCAGTTCTGTGCTTTTGCTGGAGAGGTATTGTGGTCATTTGGAGAAGAAAAGGCATCCTGGCTTTTTGAGTTTTCAGCATTTTTGCATTAATTCTTTATTTTCTTTGTGGGCTTATCTACCTTTGATCTTTGAGGTCACTGACCTTCGAATGTGGTTTTGCTGAGGTCTTTTTTGTTGATGCTGTTGTTTTCTGTTTGTTGGTTTTTCTTTCAACAGTCAGGTCACTCTTCTTTGGGGCTGTTGCAGTTTGCTAAGGGTCCACTCCAGACCCTAATCGCCTCAGTTTTTCCTGTACCTGGAGGTATCACCAGTGAAGTCTGCAAAATAGCAAAGATGGCAGCCTGCTCTTTTTTCTGGAAGCTCCATCCCAGGGGTGTACTGACCTATTGCCAGCCTGAATACATCTGTAGGAGGCGGCTGGGGATCCCTGTTGGGAGGTCTCAACCAGTCAGGAGGAACAGGATCAGGGAGCCACATAAATAATCAGTCTGGCTGCTTTTTGGTAGAGCAGGTGTGCTCCATTGGAGGGTCCCTTCCTTGTCCAGACTGTATGAACTCTCCAAAGCCAGCAGGCTGGAACAGCTGAGTTGACTGAATGGCAGAGATGGTGGCTGCCCCTCCCCACAGGAGCTCTGTCCCAGGGAGAATTCAAAGCTCCATCTGTATAACCCTGGCTAGAGTAGCTGAAGCCCCTGCAGGGAAGTCCCACCCAGTGAGAATAAAGGAGCAGTCTGATCTGGCAAAGCAACTGTGCTCCGTTGTAGGGGACCCTACCTCCTCCGGATCATTTGAACTCTTCAAAGCTGGTAGGCTGTAATGGCTGAAGCTACTGAACCGCAGAGATGGCAGACGCACCCTCCCCAATAATTTTCATATTAGGGAAATGAAATTTTTGTTATATTGGGTTAAATATAATGCATAATTTAAATTAATATTACATGCTTATTTTCACTTTTGAAATGTGATTATTAGAAAATTTAAAATTACATAAGTGACTCACATTACATTTCTTTTGGGCAATACTAGTTTTTAGCATAGAGAACACCTTGGCCATTTCTCAAAGATTTCTCTGTTCATCTGCCTCATTGCAGAAAAACACAGAAATGTGGCTAATCCATGTTGTGACAGATGCAATTCAGGTATATAGGTCACCCACTAAAATGCAAGTTCCATAAAGGCAGGGACTTTGTATATTGTTTATCACTGTATTCCCAGCACCTACATCATCAGGTACATAGTGGCTGCTCCAGAAGTATTTGTTGAAAAAGAATGAATGAATAGTATTTTTCCTAGGTTTCACAGTGCTTAGCAATTGTGGATGTTCGATTAATGTAAGATGATTGAATCAGATTCTATCTAGATGGACAGCATAGTGGAAAGAACATTAATGTTGGGATTAGGCATACTTTGTCAGTTGTATGATCTTGGGCAAGTTGTTTAACCTCTCTGGCCCAAAGTTTCCTCACTTATAGAATGTAGATTGTAATTGACGGTATTAAATGAGATAATGGTAGTTGAGCTCCTAGTGCAGTGCATGCCTTAAAGTAAATGCTCAATAACTAGTAATCATTAATTTTTTAATCCTTATCCCTTTAAAAAAATCTCATTATGAAGGACTTCCTAGATGAAGAAGGCTCTGAATTAAGCTTGAATAATGTAGTCAAAGAGCCATACCCAAATGTCAACCCTTTAGAAAATATTTAACTCATTCAAGAATTTTGGCTGAGAAAATAAAGATGGCATTCAAGTTTAAGATATTTATTTTTAATCCCTTTATATGTTTAATTTTGCCTACCCAATCATCAGAAAGTCTTCTACCACCTACAATTAGGACAGAGTGCATTAATATTTTAAAGAAAGATGTACTGTATGTACAATAAAATCTGTACCTTATGGGTAGTTAGTTGGGAAAATAAAGAGAAGAAAACTAACATTTATTGAACACCGTATATGTGTTTGGCATTCTACTATCTATTTTTAAAATACATACATTATACATATTCAAGCACTGTAACATGCACAAAAAGAGCAAAAGATAATACAATGAGATATAACTCTCTCTTCTCAGAGGCAGCGGCTGTAGCCAGTTTATTCTGTGTCTTCCATAGATAATTAATGTGCATACCAGCATAGACAGACAGATAGATGATAGATAAGTAAATAGGTAATTAGAATAATCTTTATCTTCAAAAGCTCATTTAATCCCCACAACAATCCTATTTAGGGGAAAAAAATTTTTCTCATGTTATAAATAAGGGAGCTGAAGCTCCATGAAGCTGTATACATTCTCCATTATCCATAGCTAGAGAGCAGTGGAGCCTGGATTCTGAACCAGGTCTCCAGTGGCTTCCACACTCTTGGCTTGGGAGGATGAAGATCTGTCAGCCATGACTCTGACTTTCTCTTCCCAGCATCTTTGTGCAGGTAACACCACTGTTCCTGCTGAGAAAAGTGAGATGGGATCCTCTTCTTCACCACTATCCCCTATCTCAACACTCACCCCCAAAAATCTTTCTAAAAATTGGTAAATACCAAGCACTGCCTAGGCATTTTTGTAAATCAAATTTCTAAAGAAACACACACGTACACAAACAAAATTTGATTCACTTTCCACTAATTGATATCATATCAATCACAATTACAGTTAATCCAGGTCTTTTCCCCAAACTTGTTTTGGGTTTGCTCCAAGTCATCACTAATTCTAATATGGAATAGATCCCTCTAAAAGATTGTTAGGACCAGAATGTCTGGCTAGCTTGGAATCAAACATTTTTACAGCTTCTTACTGCTCATGTTGTGTTCCTTCACAAACACAAGATAATGGTTCTTATATCTTGTGTCTACACTTCTGAATTTATTGCCTTTCTAGACCCACCCTAATTAGAAAGTTTTGCACCAGTTCCTTCTGACTCCTCTATTCCCTTCCTGACATAGCTACAGTGGAAGAAACAAACCTCACCACAGCAACTTTGCTGAGAGGGCGCTGAACTTATTAACTGCAAATGTTGTCATTTTCTTATTCCTGGTAAAAGAAAAAACCTTACCCTTCTCCATGCCAGCTCCATTCCTAGCTACCACTTAAACTGAAATATTATTGTTCCTTAGTAACCCTTTACTACCCTTCAACTTTTATAGTTTACTTTTTGATTGCTTAAGTAAAAACATTTTTAATGAACTTTTAAAGAAATTATAGCTTTCCATCACAGATAGTTAAAAAAAAGAAAAAGAAAATATACATACATCAGAAAACAGAACAAAAAAAAAGTAAAGATTATTTCGGCCAGGTGCAGTGGCTCATGCCTGTCGTCCCAGTACTTTGGGAGGCCAAGGAGGGTGGATCAGGAGATCAGGAGATCGAGACCATCCTGGCTAACATGGTGAAACCCCATCTCTACTAAAAATACAAAAACATAATTAGCCGGGTGTGGTGGCAGACGCCTGAAGTCCCAGTTACTCAGGATGCTGAGGCAAGAGAATGGCATGAACCCAGGAGGCGGAGATTGCAGTGAACCGAGATCATGCCACTGCACTCCAGCCTGGGTGACAGAGCGAGACTCTGTCTCAAAAAATAAAAAAATTTAAAAATAGAAAAATTATTTCATGCAGTTGTGTGCTGAGAAATGTTCAATTAGCTTTTAATTGGGTGTGTATATTCATATATATAATTTATGTTTAGTACAAATTTTATTGACTTGAAGGATGTGTAGACACAGATTCATTAATGATAATAAAATATACAATAGTCTTTATTGTAAATTCCATATAGAATTTATTTTGCTGAGAGGGCACTACAGGATAAATTCCAATTATTCTCACAGATTGCTTTCATTGATTTTTGCTAAGCATTTATATCCCTAACCAGCCTATAGTTGTAATTGATGTGTGAGTATAGTTCCAACATGAACATTGGTTGATATTTTCATTTCAGTTAAATAATAAGAAAAAAGTGATTCAACAAAGACATACATATTGGAGCTTCATTTGTTTATCAATGACATGAGTGACTTCTTTGCTGAATTGGATAATGGTTTCCAAACACCAGAATACTTCCTATTTTTTGTGCTACTCACAGTGTAATGGCTACAGATATTATACACTTTTAAGTTTAATCTTCATTCTTCCATTGCTATCTTAAGTCTAGAGCAACAATCATCAAAACAGTAAATCAAGCCCTAGCTTATAGCAATTGCAAATTTCTGTGGGGCAAATACTCCTACCACAGCTGATTTTAAGACATGCAGAGTTGGAAAGACAGATACTCCGTTAGCAAAGGACAGATACAATAGATGTAGATAACCTCAAGAGCATAGACAGTAGGAAAATGTCAAAAAAAGATTAGAAAGTGATGAGTTTTGAGTATTTATTACCTTTATTTTTAACATAATTTATTTAATTATAAGTTTTTATAATTTAATTTTTAATGATGGCTTGCAAATTTCTGAGAATTTAACAATTGGCTCCCACAAACTAGTACAAGCCAGCTCCAGCTCACCATTGGCTCATATGTTTGCCCCTCATAGGTCGACTTGGGAAACCAAAAATTACACAGAGTTTAATGGCATCTGTGAACAGCACCTGTAATGTCACACTGACATGCTCTGTAGAGAAAGAAGAAAAGAATGTGACGTACAATTGGAGTCCCCTGGGAGAAGAGGGTAATGTCCTTCAAATCTTCCAGACTCCTGAGGACCAAGAGCTGACTTACACGTGTACAGCCCAGAACCCTGTCAGCAACAATTCTGACTCTATCTCTGCCCGGCAGCTCTGTGCAGGTAACTAGCTCTGCCCATCTCTCCTGGTGAGTCTCGGAGATCACTCTGAGGAGCTGCAAGGTCTGAATGTGGGCCACATTCTCTAGGGAAATGTGCTTCATCTTTGGCCTGGTCACTGAGGGCATCACCTCCCAAGAAGCCCACTGGGAAAGAGGCCAAAGCCTTCTGAGAGATGCTAGACATTTCTGGGTGTTCTGTGGCAGCCCCTGATCAACTCTGATTCAATTTCTCATCCTGGCTTTTCATAGCGAAAGTTTAGTTTCCCTAGGAGCTTTGGCACTCCTTTGGAGGGCACCCAATTTTCATAATGCCCCTGACTGTGGACAAACCTGCCCAGCCTCTTGGGCCTATTTCCTGAGAATCAAGACTCACTGCATCTTCTATTTTCAGACATCGCAATGGGCTTCCGTATTCGCCACACCGGATTGCTGAGTGTGCTGGCTATGTTCTTTCTGCTTGTTGTCATTCTGTCTTCAGTGTTTTTGTTCCGTTTGTTCAAGAGAAGACAAGGTAGGATTTTCCCGGAAAGTAAAATGTGGAAACTCACCTTCTCTCCTCTTGGGACTGAAGCCATTTATCCAAGGTTTGGCCAAAAGGTCCATTGTTCCAGGGAATCTGCCTTCTTCCAATCCCCACCCCACCACCTCCCAGAATGATGGCTCTGAGGATGGTATGGCATTACCCTGAGTGGTCTTCAGAATCCATTCCTGAGATCACCAGTATCTGGTGGGCCCAGAACATGGGTTCAAGCTTAGTACCTACATGAACAAGCTGTGCTTCACTGTACAAGTGTGTTCACCTCTCCAACTCAGTGCCCTCATGTGTGAAATGTTTAGACTAGAGGATCTCCAGGGTCACTTCCAATTTCATTGTATTTTGATAATGACTATTGGAGAGTCATTGAGAAACATGTACTAATCCTGTACTCCATGGTTGTCACTAGATCCCTCTGAATCGCTCTGGATCATTTTGTAGTTGTGCCATTCTCAATTCAGAAAACCTGATCTTAGACCCTCAATGAATCATTATACCCTTCTATTCACCCATGTCTGCCCAAGAACTTCCTTTTCCCACCAATCACAATAAAAAACATGGAACTTCTGCTTCCATGTTCCTGAGTCGCCTTTGGGTCTGACTCCTCAGGTTCCTGCTTGAACACCTTCACTAAGAACACTTGTAAGTTCTCAGCCACAAAGTTCCTTGAATAATAATTGGAAGGGATGAGGAGTTCACAACAGAGTGGTTAAGACTAAGCATGTGTTTTGCAGTCAGTCTGGGGGTGAAAGTCCCAACTTGACCATTTATCAGCTACCAGTTATTTTATCATTATAAGCTTCCATTTCTCAGTTGTAAAATATTCATAGTAATAAGGTGTGCTGCATATACTTGTGGAATTAGATTAAATGGAATTAGAAATACAAAATACTTGACCCAATTCCCAGTACATAGTAAGTACTTGATAAATGTTAACTAGTATATTGATAACTGATGGGCCTGGGGCATGGTACAGAGGAGGCATTCTAGAGGGAATGGGATTTGTGACATGTGCCATATTCAAATGGCCTCACAATGGGGAGAAGGGACAGCCTGCTTGAGCCACGGGTTATCTGCAAGGTCCCTCAAAGAGATATCGTCTTCAATTCCTCACTGCCTCTTGGAAAGAGAAAAGGGATATTCTTTGCATCTATAAATGAGACAAGAGAGAGCACTCCATTTGTCTCATACTCACCAAATATGGGATGGAACTAAACTCTGAATGTTGGAGCCCTGTAATACTGCTCAGCTCAGATCTGTTATTTGTTGGTGTATTGGTGCCCTGGATTATGAAGGCCCAAAATTCTGGCCATTTTTTTTCACCTTGACCCTAAAATGTTCTGTGTTAGTACCAAAGCAAAGGAGTACACTGACGTGAATGTCTCTTCTAGCCTATACATTCTTAGAAGGAAAGACTTATCTACTGTCTTTTCTTCTCTGGGGCCTCACACAGAGCCTGGCACATAGAAGGAGCTTAATAAATGCTTATTAACTGTGTGAATTGGCAGGGTGTTGTGGCTCATGCCTGCAATCCCAGCACTTTGGGAGATCAAGGCATGTGGATCGTCTGAGCTCAGGAGTTCAAGACCAGCCTGGGCAACATAGTGAAACCCTGTCTCTACCAAAAATACAAAAAAATTGCTGGGTGTGGTGGCACATACTTGTGGTCCCAGCTACTCAGGAGGTTGAGGTGGGAGGATCACTTGAGTCCGGAAGATGGAGGTTGCAGTGAGCTGTGAGGTGCACCACTGCACTCCAACATGGGTGACAGAGTGAAACCTCATCTCAAAAACAAACAAAAAGACTGTCAATCAATCAAACAAGCAATAAATGTTCGTGGAACATCTACTATGTGCTTAACATTGAGATGGTTACAGCAAGGTCTGTGCCAAAGGTAAAGCAGTGTATAACTAGAGAGAATCAATCAAGTTAAAAAACTAAGACCGTGACATGCAAAGTCAACTAGCCATGCAAGACAGTCAGTGGTAAGTGTCAGAGACACAAAGGAAGATCCTGGGTGGAAGAGCTACATTTGACTGTCCACACAGGGAGGGGTTGGGGAAATTGTCTTTGGCCTAATCCGGACTCTAGAGTGGAAGAGAATTCCCACTGATCTGTGGGTGAGGCCTCAGCCAAGTGACTCCTGAGACATTCTGAGGATCCAAGCATCCATTTCAAAGGATGGGAGCATTTAACCCCTGGTGGCTTCCTTTCTTCATCTTAAAAAGAGAACATTGGAATAGATCATCTCTAAAAAAAACCACCTTTCACAGACTGTGGGTCTATATTTATTTGTGAGACAGATGCTGCCTCAAAGAAAACCATATACACATATGTCATGGCTTCAAGGAACACCCAGCCAGCAGAGTCCAGAATCTATGATGAAATCCTGCAGTCCAAGGTGAGCTGATGCAATTCATGGACACTCCTGCGCCACCATCTCCATGACAGGGAGTCATGGGCGCCATTGCCCTCTGCCTGTTTTTGTCTAGAAAGCAGCCACAGCCAAGAGTTCAGAGGTTCCAACCAGGAAATACCATGTCAGGGAAATGATGCCACGGATCTTTCTATGAGGACAGGAACGTGACCCATTGTCACCCCGTGGCAGCCTCCATGGGCTGAGGCCCTGAGTGTCCCACAGTGGGCCTGGCTCCAGGTTAGTTGAACCATGACTAGGAGCAAGACACCCCCTAGAGGGGCCACACAACAGAGGAGCTCCTGGTGTGAGGTGAGGGCTGCTATGTGACTACCAAGGTGGTGAACAGGTTGCTAAGGGGGCTCCGAGGCAACAGAACTGACAGACAAGTTCCCTTGAATGCCCCTCCTGGTCTAGCAGTAGCGGCTTGCTTTCCCTCAGACTCAGAGTCACTGTTCCACACCCCTCCTCCCACTCCCGCTTTACCTGCCTGCCCCTCCCTCCCTTCCACCCTGGATCACCTTCTCCTGTGTCCCTACCAGCCTGCCTCCTTGAAGTCTGCATGGAATCAAGGGGGAGACTGAGGTCTGCCTGGTCAGTCTAGCGCCGTGCTTGGACTGGTAGGGCAGTTGGATCCATAGAGGCCATGGAAAGCTAAAATCTTGACTGAGCAGGACTCAGCCTGAACCATAGTATCCCTCCTCTTGGCCTCTGAGGTTTTTCACCCCCAAGACCCTGTCCAACTGCTACCCATTCACCCCCACCTTATCCCTTCCTGATCCTAAGCCTCTCCAGAGTTGGACGGAGCCAGAACTGAGGCCAAGGGGGAGGTCACCTAGTAAATGTGGGACCAGAGAAGGATGGTGGGTAGAATTAGGAAAGGGGACTTGTAAGATTGGGCCTGGGCTCCCTCACTGAGGGGAAGATGCGTGTTTTACAGGTGCTTCCCTCCAAGGAAGAGCCAGTGAATTCAGTTTATTCCGAAGTGCAGTGCGCTGATAAGGTAACCCCTTTCTGGCTTTTTATCCTTGTTTTCCTATCTCTTCCAGCCATTCTGGTGTACCCAGTCCATCCAATCAGGGACTAGCTGGTTCCCCTGGTACTCCTTGTAGTTCTCAGGACCCACTGCCTAGAGTTTTGGTCTATACATACTTCCACCCATGTACAGAGCCCCACTCCCCAGGTCAATGACCACCCACAAGTTGTCCTACTTGGGATGCTGATCCCACCCTTCAAATACAGAAGTCCCTATGCCTCTGGACTATGGTATAGGAACTCCATCCCGTATAACACCTGGGGCCACTGCCAGCTCACGGTGTGAAAATGAGAAAACGGGTGCTTCCCTCCGAGCAGACACAGGCCCATGCCAGATGCCCAGATGGGTGAAATGGAGCAGAAGCTGACTTTCAGTTCATTTGCTCCCTCAGCTGCTCTTTTGCCACACGCAGCCTGCACAACCATTTGTAGTATCAAGTGCCTTGTGCCTTATGCCTGTGCCTTATGTCCTTCTCTACCATATGCAAAGCCCTCTGACAGGACTGTAACTTTTGGTGATCTAAGGAGGGATTGTCACTATCTGAAGGTCCTCACTGCTCCTACAGTCAGGACAGCTTTAGAGTTGCTTAAAGAATCATATTTTCTAAGTATTCCTGTTTAATAGCCGAGCTACCAAGCAGGAAGCTAAACTGAGTAAGAATTAAGAGTGATCCTATAAGGCAATAGGGAGGACATCTATGAGCTCAATGAGCAGGGTGGTGCTATTTCCTTTTAAAGAGGACTTGGAGCACAGGGCAGTTTGCTTGAAAAGATAAGCCAAATGGACTGGACAACCAGATAGAGGGACCTTTATTTTCTCAGTGCTCAGGAGAGGGAAGGAGGGAAAGAAAAAGAAGGGGAGGAGTGAGGAAAGAAGAGGAGAAGAAAAGGAGAAGGACAGGCAAGAAGTGAGGGTCAGGGTGTCCAGCATATTTGTGCCGGGATCTCAAGGAGAGTTGGAGGAAGAAGAGTAACCTAACTTAGAAGGAGATAAAATTTGAGGGATTAATCATGGAGTCCTGGATTGTGACATCTCAAGATAAATCCTTATAGACAAGTTAGATGATAATTATTGGGTCAGTATTTAATTTAAAACCTAAGACTCCTCAAGGCAGTGGGAAGATTGTTTGCAGCCTTCTAAATGCCTAGAGCACAGGAGATGCTAGCAGTGAGTCCCCACTATGTATAGGTGAAAGTGGAGTTATTGGGATACAAAAAAACTAGGGCTCAACTAGGAACAAGGTATGCAGGTAGCTTGAACCTGAATGTTGCCTCAAGCCTATAATCAAAATCTATTCCAAATATGGCCCTGCCCCCATTCCCTCTCATTGCTCTTTTCTGGGCTAAGAAGTTAATTGCTCAGGGCCTCCCAGATCGGGGGTGGCTGGAGCAGACACGAGGGACTCAGCAAAGAGCAAGGCCCTGCTACCCCAGATTTTCCCATCACGAGGCAAATCTAAGGCATCCCCCTGTGCCATTTGCTTAACTCCCCTGGGAACTTGCAGGACTGGAGTTCCCCAGCAGCCCCTCTCAGTTAACATTTTCTCACATGTTCCTCTCGTGCACAGATGGGGAAAGCCAGCACACGGGACAGTAAACCTCCTGGGACTTCAAGCTATGAAATTGTGATCTAGGCTGCCGGGCTGAACTCTCCCTCTGGAAACTGAGTTACAACCACCAATACTAGCAGGTTCCCTGGATCCAGATCTTCTCTGCCTAGCTCTTACTGGGAGATTGCAAACTGCCACATCTCAACTTGTAAGCAAAGCAGGAAACCTTCTGCTGGGCATAGCTTGTGCCTAAATGGAAAATGGACGCACACCCTTCCTGAAACGGCTCCCTTCTGAATGAATGATAAAGCATGTTACCTAGTATAGTTTTCCCAAACTTCCTCCCATCATAGCACATGTAGAAAATAATATTTTTATGGCACACTGGGATAAGCAATCAAGATTGTTCGCTTCCAGAAGCTGCATATGACTAGAGGCCTCTTGTGAATGGAGGTAACAACCCTGCCCAGTGACTGTGGGAGAAGGGGATCAATATTTTGTACACCTGTAATAGGCCATGGCACACCAGCCAAGATGCTCTGCTCATAGTCAGTATGTGTGAAGATCCCCGGTGCGTGGCCTCCACCATGCATCTTGAGCAAATTAGGAAAAGGTACCCTTCGCTTGAGGCAGATGCAGCCCTTCCCCCGAGTGCATGGCTTGGGGAGCAGAATGTGGGCTGTATATAAGCACAGTCATCCCTTTGTCTGGGAATCTTTGTGCAGGGCACGACAGGCTTAATAAGTCCAAACACAGATGACAGTGCTGTGTGGGTCTCTGTCAGAGTTGTGGCTCTCAGCCATGTAGACACACTCTCCAAATGGAGTGTTGGAAAATGTTCTTTCTGTACAGTCTAGAGATTGCTGGGACACTTTCCTTGGACTGCTACTTCAGAAACCTCATAGGATTTTCTTTCTGGCCAAGATTTCCTTCTGTATCACTCCAAGCAGCCTCAGCAGAAGAAGCAGCCATGCCCAGTATTCCCGCTCTCCAAAAGGAGTTGACCAGCTTATATTTCTCATACTTCTGGGGAACTGGGTGTAATCCAACCATCAAAATAGACCTTGCAAGAAACAGAGTCACTCTCCAGAAGGAACTGGGGAGATGATGGTGCAGATGATGAAACTGGGTTCATCCCAGCTCCAAAGGCTCAGAGAACTATGGGGTTTAAGCTGAGACAGAATGCCCCCATCCCGGCATGCCCCACAAACAGACCACCAGCCAGCTTACACAGGCATTAACTCTCCACAATGAGGAGGAATCATTCACAGCTGAGCAGGACATTTATATGATCATTTGAGGAAGTGTTTCCCTTATGTGTTAGTAAATATAATCAGCTAACTCGTAAGTCCCCATGAACAGTCCTAGGCTGGACAGCAGAAACGGGCTGCATTTGAGCAGATAAAGACATCAGTCCCAGTAAATGAATCCATAGACTCATCTAGCACCAACTACCATTAGCACTATGTTAGGAGCTGCAAGGCCCCAAAATAGAAGATATGCATAATGTCTGTCCTTGTGTAGCTCAGGAGACAATTCCAGCACAGACACTACAGTTAACGCTGAACTGAAGCTGCAAGTAATGGCATGAACAGTCAAAAAAGACTTTATGAGAGGGCAGGGCTGAAGCTGGGCCTTGAAGGATGGATGAAATTTGGATAGAGAATGAGGAAGACAGAGGGCCTCCAAGTGAGAGAAGCATGAAAAATGAGCAGGGGCCTGGATCAGTGGGGTGTATTCAGAGCACCTCTCCAGATGCATGCTCACAGTCCCTTGCCTATGTGTGGCAGAGTGCCCCAGCCAAATGTGTGCCCTCACCCCATGTCCATTTCCATGTCCTTCAACGCCCACCTCAAATGGTACCCCTTCTGTAAAGCTTTCCCTGGTATCAGGAGTCAAAATTAATCAAGGATCTTTTCACACTGCTGTTTCTTCCCCTTTGGTCCTTCTATCACTAAAACTCATCTCATTCTGCCTTACTGCATAACTAATTATTTGTTTTCCTCACTACATTGTACATGTGGGAATTACAGATAGACAGAAGCCAGCTGGGGGTGGTGGCTCACGCCTGTAATCCTAACACTTTGGCAGGCCAAGGCAGGCTGATCACCTGAGGTCAGAAGTTCAAGATTAGTCTGGCCAACATGGTGAAACTCCATCTCTACTAAAAATACAAAATTAGCCAGGTATGGTGGCACACATCTGTAGTCCCAGCTACTCTGGAGGCTGAGGCAGGAGAATCGCTTGAACCCAGGAAGTGGAGGTTGCAGTGAGCTGAGATCACAGCACCGCACTCCAGCCTGGGAGAGACACAGTGAAGTTCCATCTCAAAAAAAAAAAAAAAAAAAAAAGATAGAAGCCAATAAGCATGATGCAATCAAATTCTGGCAAGCATTAAATATCAGGATGCAGCTGGGCACGGTGGCTCACGCCTGTAATCCCAGCTCTTTGGGAGACCAAGGCGGGTGGATCACTTGAAGTCAGGAATATGAGAGGAGCCTGGCCAACATGGTGAAACCCCTTTTGTACTTAAAATACAAAAAATTAGCTGGATGTGGTGGTGCACACCTGTAATTCCAGCTACTTGGGAGGCTGAGGTGGGAGAATCGCTTGAACCTGGGAGATGGAGGCTGCAGTGAGCTGAGATCCTGCTACTGCACTCCAGCCTGGGCAACAGAGTGAGACTCTGTCTCAAAAAAAATAAAATAAAATAAAATAAATATCAGGATGCATACATCAGAGGCTGTTCTGAGTGTAAAGGCATTTTGGAGAGAGAAGACTTTCAGAGTTAGGCAGACCAACTAAGAGGTCAGCTGAAGCACCAAACCAGTTGTCAGGAGGTGAAACGCAGCACCCCAAGAAAAGACGTACAGGAAGGAATAAAGAGGCTTGGTCGTAAAGGATGGAGGAGCTCCAAAGTGACACTGAACAGGCTGCGTTTCTCCTAAAATAAAACCACTCCTCACTCTGTGGATGCATTGAAGACTCATTCCTGAACATCTTTATTCTCTAACTTACCCTCTTCCTCCTCCTAATTACTCACTCAAGGAAAATTCCTGGTGTCCTAATGCCCTTGTGTGTATTGTCAAAAATAAAAATCGGAAGCAGGTTAGATCTGCTAGGTCTTCCAGAAGAGCAAACCTGGAATGAAGCCAGAGCCCAGGAATTCTGAAGGTGGCCTTTGGGCTTAGAATACCCTGCTCTTGTCTCTCCTCTCACTGTTTCTCTCCTGTGAATCTCCTGATTCATGAACATATTATCTGTTCACCCTTCTCTCTAGGGCTCAGTTCTTAGATTTTCCTTCTGTAAAATACATGTGATCTTATTTTTCCCTCCACAACTTTCCAGATGAACTAGACTGTGACCAAGAGGTCTATAAAATCAAAGCATCATGGAACAGGATCTTGTATCAGACCAAAGTGTGCCGGTTTTTAAAAATGTGCATCAAAATGGAAATCTCAGAGACAGAGCCCTCTGGTGGAAAGTTCTAGTAGGTCAGGACAGTCCCTCTGCCCGCAGACACCTTGGGCTTTACTGAGGGACTCAACTGAGAAAATGAGGAATGTTGCAGCTCATGATTCTTAGAAGAAGAAAGTGAAGCTCATCTAAAATATGATTTTAAAAAATCTATAGAACACTCTAAACTACACAAGCTATGAGGGAATAGCCTAGTTGGGCCAGCTTGGAAACCGGGCACAGTCAGGAAGGAGCCTGTCAGGTTTGGACTGTGTCCACAAAGAGCACTTCCTAGGTCTTGCCTGGAGAGAAGGAATGGCTGGGCAATATTTTCTTCCAGACTCATTATTTTTCTTCTGTTTAACTTTTCTCTGAATTTCCGTTGATTTGTATAAATTTTCTCAAGAATAATTAGTGACAGTCTCTACTAGTTGTAAAATGAAGCTTGAAGGCCAAGCACAGTGGCTCATGCCTGTAATCCTAGAATTTTTGGAGGCCAAGGTGGGCGGATCACAAGGAGTTCGAGACCAGCCTGGCCAACATTGTGAAACCGTGTCTCTACTAAAAATAAAAAAATTAGCCAGGCATGGTGGCGCGTGTCTGTAGTCCCAGCCACTCAGGAAGCTGAGGCAAGAGAATCACTTGAACCCAGGAGGTAGAGGTTGCAGTGAGCTGAGATCGCACCACTGCACTCCAGCCTGGGTGAGAGAGTGAGACTCCATCTCAAAAGAAAAAAAAAAAATGAAGTTTGAATAACAAAGACAATAAGAGGAAGTATAATGAGTGGTCATAAATGTGGGCTCTGACAGTAGAGTGCCTGGTTCTGAATCCTGGTTTCTTAGTCATGTGACCTTAGGCAAGTTACTTTAACCTCTCTGTACCTCAGGTTGTCCATCTTTAAAATGGGGATAATAATAGTGCCTACCTTGTAGGGTTGATGTGGGGATTAAATGAGATGTTGTTCATACAGGAATGTGCCTGTGCATGACAAAGTTCTGGAATTTTTTTATAAGCTGTTCTTCTAGGCCTGAAATCATCAGAAGATGCTAATCCAAATACATGAAATAAGCTTCTTACAACAGAAATGCAGCTAGTATTATGCAAAATTAATGTTGTATATCAAACTTTTAACTCTCATCCCTCCTTATTCAGATATATTTTGTTATATGCAATGTTTTTCCCCCTGTTATTATACAACAGTATATTTACCTGATGCTATATCTGCCTCCCCAGTTAGACTGAGAGAACAGGGGATATACCTAAATAATAATAATAATAAATAATAATAATAGAGAGCTCCTTGAAGGTAGGGAGCCTGTAAGAATCATTGAGGGCTTATTTTGTATACCAACTACTAAACTAGATGCTTCATACATTGTTGTCAATACTCATGACAGCCCTGTAAAGTAGAATTAATTCTTCCAGTTAACACTAAGGATGACATAATGAATATCTTGGCAAAGTTGGAAAGCTGGAAAGACAGGATTTGAACTCAAGACTTCTTGCCACCAAGGGCCACGTACTTGTACTCTGCCATGTGGCCCCTTTTTACCTCCTGTGGATTCCGCATACCTGGCACTTGGCCTTAGGTGTACATGCACCTGGCACTTTGCCTGACACATAATAGGTGGACCACAAATATCTATTGAATAAATACTTGCATATGCTAATATTTTAAGGTACTAAAAGCAGCTCAAAGTAAATATATTAATATATTAATTCCATTGTTATCTAGATAACCACTCAACTTTTCTGTTGAAAATGCCCATTTAATTAAAGAAGGTTGGATAGAGCTCTTCATATGCATTTTGGACAGACAGGGGTTTCAGGTCATAAACACTCTGATGAGTTAATATAAAATGAGAGAAACCGTAAATTTCCACCACTAAAAATCACAAAAATAACAGAAACAAAAGAAGGGATAAGAATTTGGAGAATTATGCTGAACAATTTTGTGGTTAAAAAAAACAGCTGTGCATGTTTAGACTTAAATAAGCCCCCATCCAAGTGTGAGGAGCCCTGTAATTTTTCAAAACATATGAAAGTGTTAATGCATTTTGACAAAGGACCATTTAAAAAGTCTTGAATTCTGACTTGAGGAAGCAAAGTCATGACTAATACATTCTCTAGAGACTTGCAGACTTTGGGAATTCACAAAAGAATGGATGATAATTATTAACTGTTACTGGATGATTGCCCAGACAGTTCTCAACAGCCCTGTACGAGTCTCTGGGTTTGGGATGGATCAATTCTGTGACCAGAAAATGGCCAAATCTTTGCAAAAGAGAAATATTTTTCTTATAAGATCTTGTTGTAGGCAAATAATTCATAAATTATTTATCAGAGAATCTTTAAATGCTCATAATCTCAACTCTTTCATTTACAACTTGTATTTCCAATAGTTTATGGATCATCTCTACATAGATGTCAAAAGTCACCTCAAGTTTAGTGTGTCCAAAATTGAACTCACAGATCTGTCTCTGACCTCCCAACTTGCTTTCCTTCTGTTTTTCCTATGCTAATGATCCACCATAATCAAAATAATTAACATTTATCCAGTGCCTACTATGTACTATTCCCTGTCTTGTTTTACATTTACTCATTTAAAGCCCATAAGAAACATTAAAACTCATCTGCCTTCTGAAGAAGATACAACCATCCTCCTTTTTACAAAGTAGGAAACCAAGTCACAGAAAGGTGAAGTCTTTAAGGCTGAGTCACAGTAGTTCATCCTAGTAAATAGAAAAGCCAGGATTCAACTCCAGGGGCTGGGTGCAGAACTGCGATTCTTCACTGCTTCACCAATCAGCAGCTACCCAAGGCAGACAACTTTTTCATCCTTGGCTCCTTCATTCTCCCTGTCACCCCAGATCCCTCTACATCTAGTCAGAGAATAGGTCCTGTCACTTCCAACTTCTCTATATGGCTCTTCTCAGCCATGTGCCCTCAATCAGTCTAATTCTCTAACACACCTTCCCTCTATATGCTCACTCCCTCAGATCATTGCTTTATCACGTGTTACCTGGGTTGCTATTACATAAAGAGAAATCTTTCTAAAACAAGGATCTTGTCACTTCACTTCCATACTAAAATGTTTTTCCTGGGGAACCACACTCCTTAGCAATCTGACCCATCAGACCTTCCAGGCTGTCTCCTGCCTGCTCCCTAGGCTCCAGCCACACAGAATTATCATGGGCCCACACACCCACCAAATCCTCCCATGCCTTTGCCCATGTTGTGTCCTCTGTCTGGGATGCCCTTCTCTCCTTTCTGTCTCTGACTTTTTCATACATCAAGGATTAGACTGAATATCCCTTTTGTATGGCCTTTCAAAACCTCCCGTCCAAAGCTAAATATATAGCCCTCTATGTATACTTTTATAGCATTTGGCACACGATTACAGAGTAGTAGCTTTTTATCACATTCTCTGATAATTATATAGATATGGTATTTCTTAGCTCTTTTCTCCAACTAGCTAATAAGTTGTTTTGTGTCTGAGTGCCTAATTTTGTGTTTTGTGTCTGAGTGCCTCAATTCCTCAACAAAAAGTTTATTGATTAGTTCATTAGTCATTTGAATGTGAAAATTATGCTCACTAGCGGCAAGTGCCACTAACCCTATTCCAGAAGCTAGGTGTCATGTTTGCAACAACATATCGTATCCCCTCTACAAGTCATCTTTTATTTCAGGCATTTGTAAGTGTCCATTAATAAAGTATGGTTCATAAACTTTACCTTGTAAGTGCCTGAGAAATGAGACTACAGGCTCCATTGCAGCAGGACACAATAAATATTATTTCATAATGCATCTATTCTCTTTTGTGTTTTACTTTGTTTTGGTTTTTGAGAGCAACAAAAATGAAGCAGATGAAACAGCAAAGGAGATAGTCCACATGATAAAAGTCCTGTGCCATCTGAAAATCTAGGCCCTGAGTGGACACAAGAGACCAAGGGATTGAGGGTATAAGACAGACAATGAAAAAAAGAAAGGCTGATGTGGAGAGATGATTGGGACCTTGGGAGGAGACTGAGAAGCTAGAGACAGGAAGGACAAATACCAGAAACAGAAAGAACCCGGAGGGCAGCAGAGGTGCTTCGTCACAGATGGAGAAGAGAGTTCTGCCTTGATCAACCTAGAGAGAGGAATTTGAGGACTTAAATCACGTTTTGGGGGTCATCTCCCTCCAGGGCAGGAGCTTTGTCTTACAATTTTTCACTCACGGTGCCCTATCACAGGAGCCGATGCCTAGTAGAGCTCAGTAAGTATTTGCTGAACTGAATTTGGATTGGCGCCCACATATCAGGAGAGGAAAAGGCGTCCTGGAAATCACATTCAGAGTCTGAGTCCAAAACTGGAGAGTAGAAAGTCTCTGTGTCACCCATAGTGCCACTTGGAGGAAAGGGATAAAAAGACTGGGCTTTTAACTGAGAAGAATGAGGTTGTGGTTCCCACAGAACTGTAGGTGCAGGGCCTCAGAATGTTTGGTAAACACTGAAAGGGAGGTGACTTACTAAGAGGGGCTGTGTGAGATAGCAAATGGTTTTTAGGCCTGAGACAAAACCACTTCCTCTATTCCCTGCCTATCAAAGAGGCCGCAGCTGCTCTGTTCTGAGCCAGACTTTGCAAATGAGCCTGGTCTTCCAGCTCCCCAGCTACATCCTCTTGTGGGGTTGAAACTGACTGCTACCCATGAAGAATTTCAGAGTCCCTGTGTAGAAACTGTGTAGGCAGATACAGCAACAATTTGAGAAGATAAACAAATTTTGCTAGTGTTTCTCCAGTGCTCTCTGAGGTTTAGCACATTTCATTTCATTTCATCTACACGTTAGCCATAGGACTTTCAACTTGAGATTACCTCCACCTTCTTACCCTCACTACCTCCAATACACAACATCACTGATTTACACAATGCCCATTCATTCATTCCTCTGGGATAAACTCAAGTGTCCCTTCCTGGGGAAAGTTTTCCCTGTTCTTCCAGGCCACATCTGATGCCCACATTTTGCGCTCATAGTACAACACCTCTCGCCTTTACAGCAGTTTTCAATTTTGTCTTTAAATATTTCTCCCTGTGATTATTTGATTAATTCCTCTCTTCCGTCACTGGACTGTGAGTTCCATCAGGATACAGATCATGCGTGGTTTTGTCACCATTTGTATCCACAGTGCCTGACCCAGTGCAAGTAGTCTTCAATTTGTAATACTTTAATTATTGAAGATGCAATAGTTTATCAGCCTTTAATTGCCTTAGCTGGGATGTTACAATCCTTTGGCATATGTATCAATGACAAAGCCAGATATTCTGTTTATTTCTAAAGTATATTACCTTCATAGATTCTATAAAACCGTTGGTTGGAGATGCACTGGAAAATAATGATTTTACCTGCTTTGCAGGAAACACAGAAGAGTTAACACAGCAGGCCTAAAACTGCTGTCCTTTGAAGGGCATGCTTATAAGGTTGGCCCTTGGCTGGTGTCTGGGAACTTGGACTTTGGAATGGTTCCTACCATTCCCTGATAAGGATGACTTACACTGTGCCTGAACTGTTGGCACAACGATTTGGTTTTTGCTGAATATCTGCTTTCCTTCTTGGATTCTGGAATTTTGGTGCATGCTAGGTAGAGGGTGCCTACATTACTGACTGCAGAGAAAAACCCTAAATGCCTAGGCTCCATCAAGCTTCCTTGGTAGATTACATTTCAAACATGTCACAACATGTTGTTGAAGGAATTACATACCTCCTGTTTGACTCCACTGTGGGAGGACTCTAGAAGCTTGCACCTGGTTTCCTCTGGACTTTACCCTTTTGCCTTTGCTGATTTTCTTTGTGTTGATTCACTGTAATAAATCGGCCATAACTATGGCTATATGCTGAGTCTTGTGAGTCCCCCTAGTGAATGACTGAATCTGGGGGTGGTCTTGAAAACCCCAACACAACTCCTGAATGTCACTACAGTCTATCTACCTCTCTTTCACCACTAACTACAATAGTCTGGGTTGCCATCATCTCTTACCCAAACAATAGCACTTGACCTCTTGCAGTCATGCCTGCTCCCAGTCCAATCCATTCTCTACACCACAACCAGAGTGATCTTTCCAAAACACAAATAATGGTTATATTGTCCATGCTAATGTCATCTGGTGGCAGAAAGGACCAATGGATTGCTGTGGTATAAGGCTTTGTATATGTGATAATTTATAAGTTGAAAATTTATAATTAAGCCCTGGCACAGTGGCTCACACCTGTAATCCCAATACTTTGGGAGGCTGAGGCGGGTGGATTACTTGAGGCCAGGAGTTCAAGACCAGCCTAGTCAACATGATGAAACTCGTCTCCACTAAAAAAAAAAAAATTAGTTGGGTGTGGTGGCACACACCTGTAGTCCCAGCTACTCGGAAGGCTAAGGCACAAGAATTGCTTGAACCCAGGAGGTGGAGGTTGCAGTAAGCTGAGATGGTGTCACTGCACTCCAGCCTGGGCAACAGAGCAAGACTCTTTCTCAAAAGAAAGAAAAAAAGAAAAGAAGGGAAAGAAAGAAAGAAAGAAAGAAAGAAAGAAAGAAAGAAAGAAAGAAAGAAAGAAAGAAAGAAAGAAAGAAAGAAAGTTTATAATTAGAAGAACTTCTTTAACCTGAGAAAAATGGAAAGATATTCAGTGGTCTAATTGCCAAAAGTGTACCAGACTAGACAGTCTTATGGACTAGTCCTATCACCTATAGTGAAAGGATAATTCCCAGTCATCTTGACTGTCCCAAGGCATAGAAAACAGTGGGAAGCTTCCAAATTCATTAAATACTATAATATAACATTGATTCCAAAGCCAGATAAGGATGATCCCCCAAAAAGAGATACATAGACCAGGAGTTAGAAAACTATGGCCTGTGGCCACATCCAGTCTGCCATCTGTTTTTATTTGACCCACAAACTAAGAATAGTTTACATTTTTTAAATGGTTGAAAAGAATTCAAAGAATGATAATATTTTGGGACATGTTAAAATTATGTGAAATTCAAATTTCAGCATCTATAAATAAAGTTTTATTAAAACACTGCCAACATGTATTATTTTATGTGTTTATTATGGCTGCTTCCACAGTACAGCAGCAGAGTTGAGTAGTTGCAAAGGAGACTGTATGGTCCACAAAGTCTAATATTTACTATCAGGACCTTTACAGAAAAAGTCTGCCACATCCTGATATAGTCCGATCTCACTTATAAATATAAATGTTGAAAAATCTTAACTTAAACTTCAGTCAATTTTAAAGCAATGCATTAAAAGAAAAAAAATGCAACCAAGTAGGATTTTATCCTTAGAGTGCCAGGATGATTTATCTCTAAGAAACCATCTATTGTAATCTGCTGTTCAAACAGATTAAAGGAGAGGAAAAAAAATAATAATCTTGACATAGTCTACAATATATATTTGATAAAACTGAATACCCATGACTGATTTAAAAAGTTTTCAAGAAAGCTAAAAATAGAATGTATTTTAGTCAATGTCCAATTTTAAAAAAACTGAAACCATGTTAAATACTGAAAACTCAGCAAGTTGAATATAGGAAATTGATTCCAGAAGTGATGAAAGAGTAAAACAGGGAAGCTGAGGTTACCAGCAATTAGTAATTCCAGGAAGTTGCTATGGAACTTTGTCCCTATGGAAATTTGTCTTGGGAATCAGTGCTGCCAGCTTTCAAGATTCTAAGAGTTCACAGTCCCATCAAAACTATGAGACTCTGGGAGACAAAAATCACTCACCACTGCAGATGCTACCATCAAAGCCTGATCCTGCAAGTACCACACTAGCAAGACTTCTGACATGCTTGCTGGAACTGCACTGCTATACCAGGAACCCTGAAGTGGTACTCGTCTTCTGCTATCACTGCCATTACTGAAGACATTACCAGAAACTAAGATTAAGGAAAAAAATATAATTTATTCCTTCCATCCAACTTTAACCAATAACACCCAGTGACGAAATCTAATCAGAAGCCATCTGACAAAGGAAAAGATAAATGTAGCTTGCAGACTTCTAACCTTCTGAAAAACAAAGAGCACAGAAGGGTTGGAATAGAGCTGAGAGCAAATAAGCAAATGACTGGCTCAGGTTAAACTTTTACAACTTGATACAGCATATGTACTAAACATTTATTGGAAACATTAGAGGGATTCTTAATAAAGTAATGAATACAAGTAACCATTCTCATATTCAGTGAATACAAGATCACTGCTACTTTTCAACTGTATTGTATTGAAGATCCTTGTTAGTAAAGTGAGTCAAGAAAAACATATAAGAGGCTATCCCACATCTAGAATCAGTCATTTTTCTAAGGGGCATTGATTCCTTAGAGAAAGTATTATTTATCCACCAAGATCTTGGGTAATGTCACTAATTTTTAGTTACTTAAGAAATATGTTAACACATTTCTATAATTTTTTAAAAAATCAATATAAAAGTATAGAGATGGAGAGAGTGATGTCAGCAAAGTGATGGACTAGGAAATTCCAAAATCTCTCTTTTCCCCAACTTAGAGTAAAAAAAAAAAAAAAAAAAAAGCAGCCAAACAAAAAAACCCCAAATGGTTGAATTAACCTTATGGGAACTCTGGAAAACAGTCAGAGTTTTATAACAACCAATCAAATGCCCAATGAAGAAAAAGCCACTTTCGAAATGGTAGGAAAAGTTCCATGGCATTTTTCCTGCCCTTGCCCCACCCCCTCCTCATCCCAGCAGAAAGCTTGTTTACAGGAGGCAGGAGTTCACTTCTCAGTTCCCTCCCTTGAATGACAGGGAACATAACAGACCTTATTTGC